AGGGCAGGGGCTGCCAGCACTCAGTGTGCCAGTGGCCACTGCTGTCCAGAGCAAAGCCTAGAGCCTGCCTGCTTCCAGGTGCCCCCTGCACACAGCCCTGCAGCCTTACAGGCAGGCTGGCGTGGGGCAGGGGGGCCAGGGGATCTGTGCCCCACCTGGGTTCTCTCACCAGCTCTTTCCCCATTTTGCAGGAGGAATACCAGGAATACGAGCCAGAGGCATAATGGACCCTTGTCCTCGCCTCTTCCACCAGCAGCACAACGAACCGCTGGTAGCCCCCTGCTCCTCCCCAGCCGTCCCCGGCCCGTGCCCCTGTGCCAGGGAGGAGCAGGGGTGCTGCTGCCCTGTTCGCTCACAAGTTCTTCCTCCAGTTCCGTTCCAAGGGACCACGTCTGTGTCTCCGTACCATGTCTAGCAGTCAGAACAACCCGCTGTGTCCAAGCCCCCGAGCCCCAGCACGTGCCCGAGCCGTGGGCGCTGCCCGCAGGGGCTGGTGTGCGTGTGTGTGTGTGTCTGTGGAGCCCGGGTTTATGGTTCTGTGTCCCTCCCAGCACCATAAACCCTGGCTGTGTCCTGGTGTGTCTGTGTCTGTACAAAGCATGTTTACCTGCTCACGGGCTGCTGTACATTTTGCTTGCACGCGTGTCCCTGTGGTTCTGCTCTGGTCATTGTGGAACTATTTATTTATTTTTATATATTTATCTATCTATGGGTGGACGGGTCTTTTGCCTTTGTGAACCCCTGGCGCCCAAGCCTGCTCCCCAGCCTGCTGGGTGGTGATGGTGCCCGCGTCCTTCCCGAGGTCCCCTAGTGCCGACGCTGTGTTGTGACGTGGCATGGATATCCCCCCGCCTCCGTTGCTGGATGTGCAATACGAGGGCAGCTGCCAGTGACACAGCTGCCCCCGTGTCCCTGAATAAAGCCAACTCTTCTCTGTAGCCCCCCTGGTCCTGGTTGTGGGTTCCCTGGGGAGAGGGGTGGCCCTGCACTTTGGCAGCAGGGGCAGTTCTGGGAAGAGGAATGAGGGGCTGGGACAGACTAGCTGACCTCATCCAGCTGTGGGAGTGGGCAGGACTGGGTCCTCTTGAGGACAAGATGCTGGCTGCTGTGTCAGCAGCAGGTCACTGTGCCCTGGACCTCCAGAGGCTTTGGGCACAGGCTGTGTCCCCATGCCACCTGCCTGTGCATTGGCTGCAGTGCCTTGCGTCTGCAGGTGAATGCAGGAGGCCCTTTGTGGCTGAGGACCCTGAGCCAGGAAAAGGCTGAACATGGTCATGGGCTGAAGAACTGCTTCCCTCTGCTGCTTATGAGGAACCTCCTAGAGATGCACCCTGACCTTCTGCTAGAAGCACAGAGCAATGGGAAGCCTCTCTTCTTCTGTCCCCAACTTTCTATGTAACCCTGCTCCCCTCGGGGGGATGAGGACATGGCTGGCACCTGTGGCTCACTCAGCTGCAATGTGATCACTGCCAGGACAGGTGACTGCTACGCACCACTGAGTGATGCCCATGACAGCAGGGGGTCTTGTGCCCACCCCAGAGCACAGTCCTCAGTCCTTTGGTGTCCCCAGGGCAGGGCCACCAACAGGGTCCCCAGCCAGCCTTCATCCCCTTGGCTGCAGCATGGGCCTGGGTGCACGGCTGGGCTGAGCCTCACCACCATGAATATCAGATTAAATCCCCCACCCGTGCTGTCTCACCGACTTTGCCAGCAAAGAGTGAAGCTGCAGCAGTCAGCACAGACACACAACAGGTTTGCTGATGCCTGCAAATCCCTGCCCTGGCTCTGCTCCCCTTGTCTGCGCCAGTTGCAGCAGCACTTGCAGTGCCCACCACATGTTATTAAATGGACTGAGACAGCTGTTCCCAGGGCTGGCTGTGCCGTGGGCTGTCCCCTCCTCTAGAGCTAATTGCATTTTTGCCTTCCCTTGCCCAGTTCTGCCAGCCATGAGCAAGCAGACCCAGCCAGCATCAGCACAGCTTCCTCCAGCACCCAGGAGGCTGTAAAGGGGCTGGGGCAGACAGGGTGCAGAGGAAGACAGCCCCCAGCCCAGGAGACATCTCCACTCTATGCTCTCCATTGGTGAGAGGGTATCATGGGGGGGGCTCTGTGCATGCCACAAGCACAGCTGTCAGCACTGGGAGAGCAGACAGGAGTGTCTGGGAATGTGAAACAGGTGAGCCAGGACAACCCTCCATTGGTGTACACTTACAATCACATGGACATGGAACTCTGGGGACAAGGCAATGGGGATCTCCTCTCTGGCCTGGCCAAACCACTGCTCCAGGCTGTCCTGCACTGATTGCAGGAGGTGGTAGCTGGATTTCTGCTTGTACTTGAAGCCATAGACAATGTGATTCAAGTTTTTCAAGCACTTGAAGAAGGATATGGTTGCACCACCTGCATTCACATACATATCTTGCCAAGGGCACTACATGCTTCCTATTTGCTGTTTAGGATGACCCTGAGACCCATGACCCAGCTAGGGATTGCTCATCCTCTGCTTTGGGTCCCTCCCTGTACCCTTGGGCTCTGCCCTCAGAGACAGTCCTGAGGTCACTTGGATGGCCAAGTCCTACAGCCACGGTGGCTCTGCACTTTGAGCAGAGACACCAGCTTCTCTGACACCCCATGTGACGTGACATGGTCTGTTGTTGTTCCTTTGCAGGAATATCTCTTGTGCTGCTGGTGCAGTGGGGCCCTTGGCAGCTTCTGCTACAAGCAGAGCAGAAGTGAGACAGGCAGAAGTGAAAGCAGAAACCAGTGCAGGGTGCTTTCCCTGCTGCTGGATGCCCCACAACAGGCCACTTCTGGTGGCAGGGCTCTGGGTGCTCATCTCCCTGACCAAGCTTTTCAGGGTGAGCAAAAGCTCAGACCTTCTCTTTCATGGACTGAGACAGCTGTTCCCAGGGCTGGCTGTGCCGTGGGCTGTCCCCTCCTCTAGAGCTAATTGCATTTTTGCCTTCCCTTGCCCAGTTCTGCCAGCCATGAGCAAGCAGACCCAGCCAGCATCAGCACAGCTTCCTCCAGCACCCAGGAGGCTGTAAAGGGGCTGGGGCAGACAGGGTGCAGAGGAAGACAGCCCCCAGCCCAGGAGACATCTCCACTCTATGCTCTCCATTGGTGAGAGGGTATCATGGGGGGGGCTCTGTGCATGCCACAAGCACAGCTGTCAGCACTGGGAGAGCAGACAGGAGTGTCTGGGAATGTGAAACAGGTGAGCCAGGACAACCCTCCATTGGTGTACACTTACAATCACATGGACATGGAACTCTGGGGACAAGGCAATGGGGATCTCCTCTCTGGCCTGGCCAAACCACTGCTCCAGGCTGTCCTGCACTGATTGCAGGAGGTGGTAGCTGGATTTCTGCTTGTACTTGAAGCCATAGACAATGTGATTCAAGTTTTTCAAGCACTTGAAGAAGGATATGGTCGCACCACCTACATTCACATACATATCTTGCCAAGGGCACTACATGCTTCCTATTTGCTGTTTAGGATGACCCTGAGACCCATGACCCAGCTAGGGATTGCTCATCCTCTGCTTTGGGTCCCTCCCTGTACCCTTGGGCTCTGCCCTCAGAGACAGTCCTGAGGTCACTTGGATGGCCAAGTCCTACAGCCACGGTGGCTCTGCACTTTGAGCAGAGACACCAGCTTCTCTGACACCCCATGTGACGTGACATGGTCTGTTGTTGTTCCTTTGCAGGAATATCTCTTGTGCTGCTGGTGCAGTGGGGCCCTTGGCAGCTTCTGCTACAAGCAGAGCAGAAGTGAGACAGGCAGAAGTGAAAGCAGAAACCAGTGCAGGGTGCTTTCCCTGCTGCTGGATGCCCCACAACAGGCCACTTCTGGTGGCAGGGCTCTGGGTGCTCATCTCCCTGACCAAGCTTTTCAGGGTGAGCAAAAGCTCAGACCTTCTCTTTCATAGAGAATGTTTAAAGGCTCAGGCTGCAAAAGACCTTGGTGTCCCAAGTCCCAGCACACCCTCTCCCTTTGGTTCCCAGGGCTCGCAGTGAAGGGAGGAAGCTGATATTTGTCCCCTGCTTTGCTCACTGTTACCTGCCGCCTATGATTTCTAGTGTCAACACTGTGATATCCAGTGCCTTTGAGGGTATTATCTCCTCTGTGCGGGGAGGGAGGATCTGATACAGCAGTGAAGACTGAGAATGCCAGAAGAGCCAGCCAAGGTCACTCCAATGATTATTGCTCCCTGCCAGCAAAGGGAAGGGCTCAGGCTTTCCTTCTCCCCAGGATTATGTCACCTGCTGCCTCTGCCTCATGTCCCTCTGGCACAGTGGGTGAGTTGTTGGTGCAGTGATGTGATACCTCCCTGGGGCCTGAGTTCCAAAAGTAAAGGTTCAGCTGGGCTGCTGTCATCTGCACTGGTGCAGGGCCAGTTGGGAGTGGTCAGTGAGGGTGGTCTGGACCTTTGCTCGCACCCGGGATCCACTGCCTCTTGTGAGCAGCTTCTCATCAGAGGCCGGGATGAGGATGTCACAGAGCACCTCCAGGATGCTGCTGTCACAGGGTTCTGCTTCTGGAAAGTAAACTATGGTGCCGTGGTCCTGAAATGAGCAGGAGAGTCCTGCTGGGCCCAGCCGGGCAGCTCTGAGCACTGTCCTCAGAGCTGGGCTCTGCAGGAGCTGAAGGGCAACTCCTTTCTCTTTGGGTGCTTCAGAGACAGGCACTGAGCACCACTCCTAAGAACAGGGGCTGGGTTGACTGGGCTCAACTCACCTCCTCACAGTTTTCTGGATCCTTGGGGTCAGTCCCTCTGGGAATGTAAGTGGCTCCATCTGTCTCTCCAGCACAGATGCAGGAGGCTCTGTATTTGTGCAGGTACTTCATGGTGTGTAGTCCCACTTTGCCAAAGCCCTGCAGGAACACTGAATAGAGACAGTTTGGGGAGAGGGAAGTTGTGGGGACAAACACTGAAAACTCTGTTACTGCTGCTCTGGTAACAGCCTCCGTCCAGGAGGATGAGCTAAGAAGCACAAGTAGGAACCCCTGGTCTAGCAGGTCATGATGAATGTTTTGGCTGGATGCAGACTAGGATCTGACAGGACTCAAATCTCCTTGGCTAGTTAGAGGGTCATGAGAAAGAGTCCATGGGATAAAGGCTTCCACCTCAGTCTGTCTTTATCACCTCCAGAGCTTCTGAACGTGATGTTCCAAGCACTTCACACTGTTCAGCTTCTAGGAGTCAATGTCAACAGAAAACAGATCCAGTGAGAAGCACAGCCCCTTGGTGGGCACCACACAGCATCCAGGCAGCATCTGAGCTGTCCAGCTATGACCGGCTGCCGCAGCAGCAGCACAAGGCAGGGCCCTGGGGCAGCTCAGCTCTTCTTAGGGGAACAGAGAATTTTGCACGGCCTGCCCCAAACTGCTTGGCAACTGGGTACAGCTCCTAAAAGCAATGCCAGTTCCTGAGACTGCAAAAACATCCCCCAAATGCAGAAAAGCTATGCAAACAGTAGCCAAAGACTTCAGCCTTCTCATTCTCTGCCCTATCAGCTAAGAAGAAGGACATGCGGAAAGGAAGGGGGTGAGGAAAGGCCGGGCTATTCCTCTCACCAGAAAACAGGAAGCTGCGAGCAGCGGGTTGGGCAGCAGTGCCTGGTGGAGAGCAGGAGCTCCGGGAGCTACAGCAAGGGGGAAGCACCTCCCCGCAGTTGTGAGCAGGTCCTGAGCTGCAGGGAGCAGAAGGGCCTTCCCGGGAGGAGCGGGGAGAAGGCAGTGCTGGCACCTGTGGGGTCCCGTCGGGCTCCCAACGTCCCTGGGCAAGGCAGGGCTTCAGACCCCACAGGAGATGGGGGCTGCACCCACAAGCGGGACCTTCACCATGGGTAACGTCACAGCTCGCTGCAACTGGTTTGGAGGTGACAGAAACGTGCTGCTGGGCTCTCACCACCCAGTCTGGCAGAGACCCTGTGTCCTGCTGCCTCTCTGCTCTGCCTGCTGTGCAGGCCAGCGTCGGGTGAAGGTGTCAGCTACCCAGGACATCTGCCACTCCCCAGTACTGATATTGGAGACAAGACAGCTCTCACCTATAAATCCCTTCTTGGCCATTTCTACAGTAAAATTCTTCATTATTTTCTCCAGCTCATGTTCCTCTACATGAAAAACAAAACACAGTTGCTGCTACAGAATAATCACAGGGCTGTGGTACAGCATCTGGCAGCTGCCCTGCCCTGCCTGTACAGAGCATGCCCTGATGTCTCCAGGGACTTAATGCACAGCAGCTGGGGACCCTGGATCAGAAAGAGAAAAAAAAAAGAAAAAGATGTGCCCTTCACTCACTGCCCTTCCAACTCCTCCCTGATTTGGACCTTCTCCCAGCACAGCACGCATCGTCAGGAGCGTCCGTCCCTCCTCCAGACTCCCTTAGTGTGTGTCTGGCCAGATGCACTCACCCATAAAGCACAGCTCACCCCCCTTCTCCCCGCCCCGAGCTGCTTTCCGCGGTCGCTGGGTGAGTGTCACTCCCTGCAAACGTCTCCCCCCGCTTGTCAGAGCGCGTCGCTGTGATACGCGGAGGGGAAGGGCTGTGCAAATGGAGCCCTTGGCGGAGGAGGGAGAGGAGGGAACTCAGCGAGTGTTTCCTCGGACCAAGCTTCACACCCGCCATGGCACCACCAAAAGGAGCATCTGGAAAAGACAGGATAAGGCAGAGAGATGTTCTCTGCCTGCTTCCCAGGGGTTGGAGGTGGCCATAGCAATCGTGACCTCGTTGGTGAACCCAGGCAAGGGCCCAGCACTTCCCCATGCTGCACATGGCTCCCCCTCAATGCCACATGGCCTCTGCAGAGCAGAGCAGAGCTGAAGGCAGGACAGGATATGGACCCTGAGCCTGCCATGAATGCCACCAGCCAGAGCTGAATCCATGACAACCCAGGCACAGAGAATGCATCTGAGAAGCATGATGCTTAACGTTCCCTGATTAACACAAACACCCCGGACTGCCAGGGGCTCATTCTGCAGCAAACCTTGCCCTCACATCGGTGCCCAGAGGAACACCCTGCACTTCCAGAGCACTTCTGACTTTCAAAGCTACTAAATAGCTTTTCTGACTCACTGCATCTCAGCCACATCCCATGCCCAAGTCACCAGGTGCTTTACGTTCCCCTTGTACTTACCCACTACAGCACATTAGTATGTCATTAATGCAGCCAGGGCTTTTACTTCATCAAGACTGATTGAGCTGCTTTAACGAACCCCTGGGAATGGAGAGAGAAGAAATGAAGAGTCCCTGCCTTTTTACCACAAAAGGTACAAGAGGCATTGTAGGAAAGGCTTTGAATCCTCTGAAACAGCATCATCTAGTCACAATAGGTGATCAGCAATCATTCAGCTAGACCTGTTCCCCCAGTTCACCACAGAATGGAAAACAGGTTCCTTTCAGCTGGCCATCCCACAGGCACAGGCCTTTGCTGTGGTGACACCTAAAAGAGCTCAGCCTCAGCACAGCAAAAGTCTCAGGCTAAGGGTGAGGGGACAGGTTGCAGGGACATCTCTGGCTTAGAAACTGTTGTGTTTTGGGGTGTGATTAGGGCAGTGAGTGTATGGTGTTTAGGATGAGGAGTCAAACACACACGGGGGTGGCTGCCAGCCACACTGTTCTTGTGCTCCAGCATGAGCAGCAGGGCTGCAGCTGAGGTTGGCAAAGCTGCCTCCCCCAGGCATCCCTCGTCCTTCTGTGGGATGAATCCAAGTACTCCATCTTCCAGGACACTGCCACAGGCATCCCAACCACCACTGTGTTAATGCAGACACCTCTTGCTCAGAGTCCCTGCTCCCTAAGCCCAGCGGGATTGAGCTCAGCAGAACCCCTTCTGCAGGCCTGGGTAGGGATGGATAGTTGTGTAGGGGGGCTGCAGCTCCCTGGCACACCCCTTTGCAGGGCAGACAGTGCTGTGGTGTCTTGGCCTCCGTGCCCTCCCACTCCTCAGGGCTGGGGCTGGACAGCCACAGGCATGGGCCCAGAGAAGAGAGTACTGGCAGGGATCAGGTCCCCCTCTAGCACCCCTGTGCTCAGGCTGTTGGGAAGGCAGTGCTGGTTTTAACGTGCACGGTGCTTTTGGATCTCCTTATAATCTCCTTTTCATCCCAAGGCACTCAAAACTCTGGGATTGCTGAGAGTCCTCCTGCTGGCAGCTTGGCCCTGCCTGGAGAAGCAATCTCGAGGGCAGTGTGGGATGCACGGCTGCAGTCAGCAACGGGACTCTGGTGCCCCAGGGCATCTCCTGCCGCTCCCATTTTCCAGCACCCCATCAGCTCCAGAGCCCAGTGCCCATGCCCGCGGGTAACTCGGGCAGCCGCGCGTGAAAGCAGTGGAAACCCATCACCGTCCCACCGCCTGGGCAGTCCTGGAGGTCACACCATCCCCGGCCAGACTCTTTCGGCTGCGTCCCACCGCTCCCCGGCCCCATCGAGCATGGCTAAGCCGGAGGGCGCCGAGCCAAGCCCAGGCCG